CCCAAGATGCCAAAGCGGCTAGAATGGGTAGGATACAACACCTAATGAAAACGGGTAAAATAGGTCCATTGCCACCAATCGAAAAGATTCAGCATGGTCGATCGGGAATAGGCGGTTTTGCGATGTTGGCCATGAAATTTGACAAACAGGTGGAGCCACTGTTAACTAGTATTAAACCCGATTGTATAGTATTGGAGCAGTTCCTGACACTGCCATCGGTGGCACTGTCGGGTATACCTTATGTTTGGTTATGGAGTCCCAATCCCTTGTGTATGGTGAATGATGATAGAGCACCTCCTATGTGTTCGGGTATGTTTAATGAATAATTATACTTTGGAATAGACAAGTTTTATTTGGATCAAGTCTAAAATTAATTACTATTGTTATGTTAATAGAGAATATGATATTAGACAAAATAATGATGATAAATATTGGGCGGTGAGCTTGAGCAAAAATACAATAATATGTAATACTCCCACACCGGTTTATTAGTTTTAGTTATAAATAATAAATTATAACTTATAATATAGAATAATTCTGTGATTAATATTTTAAGTTGCAGTTTGTAATTTTTAAAAATTGAAAACATTAGAATAATTATTTATAAGTTAAAAGTATTAATAATAAAAATGAATAATTTAAATATTGAATAAAATATTGATTTGATTTGATTTTTATAGGACTTTCTGTTAATGGAGATAAGAAATTATGGCAAGAATTCAGAGATGTTTGGAATAATGAGTGCAAAGAAATGTTGACTAAATTCAATGATTATATTGTCTCCAGAGGTTGTCAACCATTAAAAGATAACGCATTTACCGACGTCTCAAAGTGTCTCAATATATACGGCTATCCATTGGAGTTGGACTACACGGACATCAGACCACTGCCCAGGAATTTCATCAGATTTGATAATTTTAAGAGATTTGATAAACACTTGGAGTTTGAGATACCGGTGCCGTTGAGGGACAGACCGGGAAAGTTGATATATTTCTCGTTGGGATCCATTGGTGGCGCGGATGTGGAGAATATGAAGAGATTATTGAAAATTCTGTCGAAATCTAAGCACAGATTCATTGTATCGAAAGGACCTCTTCATGAGGAGTATGAGTTGCCGGACAAC